TTTTCTTTCATTTCGCATTTCGGATACTTTGCTGTTCGTGCCTCGTAGTTAATAATTTTGTATAATTAAAAAACTAGGTATTACAAATTTGTACTCAATATTTTTCCTTTAATTCAATCGTACGTATCGATTGGTTGCGAGTGCAGACGCCGGCTAGTATTTCGTATTGTACGTTTTTTGAGTCCCGATAGACCGGTGACTTTGGTGTTGACACGATTCGTTTACTTAATAAAAACAAAAAAACACTGGTATTTGTCGAAAAGAAAGCTTTTATGCTATTACATCTTTTTCGTTAAACCGATGCGTTTGTGGTGTAAATACGGTATACTATTCGTACAAATATAATAAAAAACCTTATATTATGACTTGTACATTTTTAACATACCGGACATTAAATGGTGTACTCGTATAGTCTTGTCCGTGTTAAAGGTAATAAGAAATATGACATCACCAAATGTCACGTATTATAATGTATTACAAATACGATATACGTTTTTTGGTCTAATACGATGTGTCGGTAGCCAAGATTTAAAAACTATTGTCGGCTTTGTAATTTAGTAAACCGTATATTTCACCATTCGCTGTTGTAAACGATAACTATACTGGATTACACATATTTGATTTAACTTTTCTTGTGTTAATCAGTTGTGATATGCTGAACAGTTAATTGAAATTTAGTTTACCCATTGTCTTTACTACAGACTTGCATAAACAACGTATGAAATGTTACACTTTTTTCTTGATTCGTATGTACTAATGTAACCAAGACGGTTGCAATGTTAACACGCTTTGACACACTGCTTATCGTTAGCTAAATATATATGCCTTTGGTGTCACGCTTAGGATCTTTTTGGAATAGCTTGAAGGTATGTCCAAAATTTTGGTACCCTATGACAGTTATGTTTGTCGTTAAAAAAAGTAATTGTTTTAATATAAAATATAATGGCAAACCTCTTCGACACACTGCATATTGCTAAAATATTATAATATAGGTATTGACTATAATTATACTAAAAATGTACATTTTTACTCACTGTTTGTTATTAAACAAACAAGCTTAAGTTAACACTGAACCAGGACCAATTTTATTGTAACCTATAGCATAGGGTTACAAGATTTGTGTGTTCAAGACATCGACTAAGTAATTGTAATTGATGGATGGAGTAACTAGCTCAGAATGATGTTAGGAGATAACAATTGAAAAATTATTCCTTGATTAAGCATTGTCAAAGTTCAGCTTTTAGAAGTTTTTAACATTTAATTTAAAAATTGGTTCCAGACTGTTAGGACAGTATTTTTAGCCTAAACAGTATTTGGACTGCTATTCTGCAACTAATCGGTAAAATAACATTATATTTAGAATTATATAAAATTAAAACACAATTGATTTTTAGAATGAGTTTAATTTGTGTATGAAGTCTGTAAGTGAATATAATTTCTAAAAAACTGGAAGTCATAATGTGTACACAGTCTCTACTCTTCATTGAGTTCACAAGTTAGGGTTCCTTAATGATATATGTATACTTATATTATCGGTGTTTTAACTTGCAAAAATAGGGTTCATGGTAACTAGTATCAATAGTAGATACAACACATTCAGTAACATTTATTATTATTCATACTTAATTACTCATTATTTTTTAAAAACTGTTGCAAGCTGCCAATATGTATGACATAAACTATGCAAGGTTCCAGTTAATGAGTATTTTGGTTTTAACGGTTATTACAGACTATAATTATTACTGAATTCTACAAATAAACCACTTGTAATTTATTGTGGGGATGTAGGCACAACGGTGACAGGCCGGTGTCCAGTGGACAAACAGTTTTTTAATAAGTTAAATTATTGCAATTTTATATCTTTAATTTTAGCTATTATCAATTAAAGAATGCTAGAAAACTAGTACAAGAAAAAAATCAAAAAAGTAATTTTTAAAAAAATGGTTAAAAAAATAATTTTGGTTTGACCTATTGTATTTTTTGCATTTTTTAAATAATTTGTTTATACATTTTTTTTTTTTAAATATTTACAATCTGTATTTATATATACCATAAGTAAAATTTAGGGCTAATTTATATACAAAGCTGTAAGTGATATGTGTGACTTGAGGTACCTTCACAAACAACTAAAGTTGGTTGCAATTTGAGTCCAGACATAATTAGTATTACTCAATTTTTTCGGCGTTCTGAAAAAAAAAATTGTAAGTATGCCACTTCATCTTTTAACAATTTTTTTTTTTCGTTAATACTAAATTGATGTTTACAATTTGATTGTATGCAAAACATTGTATTGTACATTGATCTACTTGTAAAGCTAACATTGATTGAGTAAATTTCATTATCGTTTGTGAATATTATTTTAGAAACCGAATACCGAATACTTTTATTTAAAATACAGAACCTGTTTGAAATATTTAATGACGATTGTTTCAAAACATGTTCTGGTTATCCTTACCTGATTAATTTAAAAACAATAACACCTACTTAATGTTATCTATTGATAAACATGTAAAAGAAGTAAATATTTGGTTTAAATCACCTGGATCGTCTTTACAAACAATTTGTCTCAATTGTTATAGTATCCTTGTGAATGTTGCAATCTTTAAAAATATTTAATGTGAATCTGTTTTATAATTTTCTATTTTAATTAGATTAGTTAATTAAATACAAGTATAAGACATAATATTTTTACTCAATATATATTTTTGACAAAACACACCGAATGAGTATAATAACTTTATATTTATAATTCGATAAAATTATAATAAAATCGATTTTTAGAATGAGTGCAAAATACTCGTGCATATAGTTTAATAGTGAATATAATTTCTAAAAAAAATTTAGGTGATATGTGCGACTTCAGGTACCCTCTCAAACAACTAAATTTGGGTGCAATTCGAGTACAGGCATAATTAGCATTACTTAATTTTTTCGGCGTTCTGAAAAAACAAAACAAAAATTGTTCAGTAAATGAAGTGTCATCACGAAGCTAAATTATTAATCAGCTGTATAAAATAAAGGTGCATAAACGGTATTTTTAAACCCCATTTTTCTTCTTCAATTTTGATTTTAAAATGTTTACACTTTTAAATAATTACTAAAATTCGTTAATTTTTTTTTTAAATTCACAAATCATTTTGAAGTAGTTAACCGCCTGAAGAACACTTAAGGCTAGGGAAATAATTGTAAAACGTCAAATAAAATGGACAGTTACAGCTAAAACGAAAAGAAAACCTAAAACCTTTACTTACATCTATTATCGCTTTTTCTGTATTTATCCGCTACGGCCGACTAGTGCTCACATAAATAAACTGTTTCACGCTGAAGGTTTGAGGGTTCCGTCTTGCTGTAGTCGTCCAATAAGTTTGGCTGAAAAAAAGGGGATTGTGAAAAACATATATGAGTTTATATAATTTATAGAATCTGATAGTTTTCTGATGTTTGACAGAACGCGACTCGAGCGTAAAAAAAGTCTACCTTTATAACGGCTTTGACGAGGAATTTGCACCTGAGCCTATTACCGGTGTCTAAAGTGTTCGTCCGGTTCATTTTTGTATAGGACCGCGATGTTTGTATTTTTTTCCATAGTCGCTTGTTGTTGTCTCAAATGAGTTAGATTCACTTGCAGGTTCAGTGCTGTAAACCGACAATTATTTAATCAAGATTAGTGATTACCATCGGCGTACGAATATTGTAGTCGAACCTGAGCATTATATTAACAAATAGATATTCAAGTAATAATTTCAAACAACTTGTTATTTAAATAAAAATTGCCCAGGTTCAGTTCTAGGGGATTAGGCTGAATAACAGGTATGGAAATGAAAATTAAAATAAAAAATTGTCGTAAATAATAGTCGTCTATTTTCAATATAAATTGAAATAATAAAATAGCCAGCATTGTAGAATCGAAGTCACGGATTTTGCGCAATTATCTTTACGGGAAGTTAAATTTTTCTTGATCAACAAATAATTATCACCAAAACAGGAAGATATTATTTGAACTTGGTAATTATTTAATATTCCTTAAGTAACTTAATGCGTTACTATTTCACTCATTAGTGAAATACTACTAACGATATGTAAAGTTTATCTATAACATACTTACACTTCGTATGCATATCTACGAAACAGATACATCGGTGGTACAGGCCAGACGATCCAACCAAAATCACCCTGATGTACCCAACGACCATGTGACGAATTTCTGGTCGATAACCGTGGTCTGTTAAGGCACAGGAACAACTTTCCTTCCACGACATTTTCATCGATCTTCAACTTGTTGGTTAAATACATTCGTGTACCATTTGCTTGCAATTAAAAATCATTAAGGGTATTACAATTAATATTCATATATATATATATATTTTTATATATTTATTTATTTATAAAGGATAGGGCGAAGGCAACTGACGAGATATGAGGGTCTAATATCTTATACAAATGTTATATTTTCTTTTGTTACAATAAGACGTCAACTATAATGATTCATATTCAATAGAATATGAATTATAAAAAATGTTTTTAACCTTTAGCGACTTTTTAGAATTAATTTTTGATTTTTTTTTTCAAAATAATAAAAAAAACGTAACGCACAAGCATAGCATTTTTACGTTTAACAGTACGACCAAGTGTTTAAAGCTTATACCAACGTATTTTATCAATACAATTGTCACCTAAACTAGACCTAACGAAACTACTGACTAAAAACAATTTTGACACATTTTTATATCTTATACTATATGAACGAACAGAATATATCAGTATTAAACTAACTGCAATTGTTTTGTTAAAAGTAATGCTCCACGGGTACGATGGTATTTAAAAAATGTACAAGCCGATATTATTCATATTCGAAGTATAAAAAACATAAATGTCGGACTTACTATTTCAAACGAGTTTCTCTCGGAGTCGGCATACTTATATTGTTGATCTGTGAAGCATAATGATCCACGCCTCTTAAAAGCTAAAGTCGTACGCACCATTACATCTTTCGTGAGACCTACGCCTTCTACTAACAATGTAATTTCGACGTATTGGTTTTTATCGACGATGGTAAAGTTGACAACGTTTGCTGATAGCACGGCATAAACATAGTCGTCGTGAGTATATTCGTGTTGAAGCCGAGATCCACCCGTGGCGGTACCAATGTCCAACCAAAGCGATAGCACTGCAACCGATGTGACAATATAGATTTTGAACATGATGAATTGTTTTTTTGGTAGGAAATTCACTAAAAATGGGCAAAAGAAATTCGCGACCGAACGAGTAAAGTCTTTGTGATCGAATGACGATTGCCAGAGCTGGTGTGTGACACAAACCTCAGCCGACCCCTCTAGTAATAACTGTTTGGCAGGTAAAGTCGTCCTGACACTTATTGCCGTTTATTAATCCATCCTGCGAGAAACGCTAGTATTCATCGACCCTCCAATTTATCAACGGGTTCCGTTGATAAATATAATAACACAATTGATTTTTAGAATGAGTAGAATACTTGTGCATGTAGTCTAATAGTGAATATAATTTCTAAAAAACTGTAAGTGATATGTGTGTCTTGAGGGTACCCTCTCAAACAACTAAATTTGGATGCAATTCGAGTACAGGCATAATTAGCATTATTAAAAATTTTCGGCGTTTTGAAAAAAAAAAAATTGTTCAGTGAATAGTCGAAAGATGAAGTGTCATCAAGAAGCTATATTATTAATCAGCTGTATAAAATAAAGGTGCATAAACGGTATTTTTAAACCCCATTTTTCTTCTTCTATTTTGATTTTAAAATGTTTACACTTTTAAATAATTACTAAAATTCGTTAATTTTTTTTTTAAATTCACAAATCATTTTGAAGTAGTTAACCGCCTGAAGAACACTTAAGGCTAGGGAAATAATTGTAAAACGTCAAATAAAATGGACAGTTACAGCTAAAACGAAAAGAAAACCTAAAACCTTTACTTACATCTATTATCGCTTTTTCTGTATTTATCCGCTACGGCCGACTAGTGCTCACATAAATAAACTGTTTCACGCTGAAGGTTTGAGGGTTCCGTCTTGCTGTAGTCGTCCAATAAGTTTGGCTGAAAAAAGGTGATTGTAAAAAACATATATGAGTTTATATAATGTATAGAATCTGATAGTTTTCTGATGTTTGACAGAACGAGACTCGAGCGTAAAAAAAGTCTACCTTTTTAACGGCTTTGACGAGGAATTTGCACCTGAGGCCATTACCGGTGACTAAAGTGTTCGTCCGGTTCGTTTTTGTATAGGACCAAGCCGTGTCATTTAAAAAATGTAACTTGTTACCGCGATGTTTGTATTTTTCTCCATAGTCGCTTGTTGTTGTCTCAAATGAGTTAGATTCACTTGCAGGTTCGGTGCTGTAAACCGACAATTATTTAATCAAGATTAATGATTACCATCGGTGCACGAATATTGCAATCGAACCTGAGCATTATATTAACAAATACAATGTTCAAGTAATAATTTCAAACAACTTGTTATTTAAATAAAAATTGCCCGGGTTCAATCCTAGGGGATTAGGTTGAATAACAGGTATGGAAATGAAAAATGAAAATAAAAAATTGTCTTAAATAATAGTCGGCAATTTTCAATATAAATTGAAATAATAAAATAGCCCGCATTGTGGGATCGGAGAGTCACGGATTTTTCGCAATTATCTTTACGGAAAGTTAAATTTTTCTTTAATTAATATTCAAATATATATATATATATTTATTAAGGATAGGGCGAAGGCAACTGACGAGATCTGAGGGCCTAATATCATATACAAATGTCATTTTTTCTTTTGTAACAATAAGACGTCAATTATAATGCTACATAATATAATATGAATTATAAAAAATGTTTTTGACTTATAGCGACTTTTTAGAATTAATTATTGATTTTTTTTTTTAACTACATATTGAGATAACTAAATCTATCGAGATTGAGTAGAATACTTGTGCATGTAGTCTAATAGTGAATATAATTTCTAAAAAACTGCAAGTGATATGTGTGTCTTGAGGGTACCCTCTCAAACAACTAAATTTGGATGCAATTCGAGTACAGGCATAATTAGCATTATTAAAAATTTTCGGTGTTTTGAAAAAATAAACAAAAATTGTTCAGTGAATAATTGAAAGATGAAGTGGCATCATGGAGATATTTTATTTAGTCGGCTGTATAAAATAAAGGTCCACTAACAGTATTTTTAAACCCCCTTTTTCTTCTATTTGTATTTATAAATGTTTTCACTTTTAAATAATTACTAAAATTCGTTAAATTTTGTTTAAATTCACAAATGTTTTTGAAGTAGTTATCCGCCTAACGAACATTTAAGGATAGAGCAATATTTGTAAAACGTCAAATAAAATGGACAGTTACAGCTAAAAAGAAATAAAACCTAAAACCATTAATTACGCTGTTATCGCTTTTTCTGTATTTATCCGGTCCGGCCGATTAGAGCGCACATAAGTAAACTGTTTAAACTGTTTGTATTTTTTGCCATAGTCGCATGTTCTTGTCGCAAATGAGTTAGATTGACTTTGTTCGCTGCTGTAACCGACAGGTATTTAATTAAGATTACCATCGGTGCACGAATATTGTAATCGTACCTGATCATTATATTTTTAGGTAAGCTTATTTTACAATTAGTTAAACAAACATAGAAAAATCTATAATTCTAACCTAACTAACCTAACCGTTGTCGTTTTTAGTCAACTGGTTGGTTAGGTTAGCTATTAGGCTACTATATTTTGTAGGACAGATCGCTGAGAATATTAACAGATAAGTGTCCAAGAAATAATTTTAAACAACTTGTTATTTTAATAAAAATGCCCAGGTTCAATCCTGGGAGATTAGGTTGAATAATAGGTATGGAAGTAATAATTAAATTTAAAAAAACCAGTACAGTGGGGTCGGTGCATAGTGGGGACGGAGCATAGTTGGGTCGGGGCATAGTGGTGACGGGGAGGTCACAGGTTTACAGGAATTTTTAAATCTGAAAGTGATAAAATCACTTTCGAAAAAACGCTTCGATGCAAATCGGTAGTTAGTATTTTCAAGCCAGTACAGTCCAAACCAAGCACAGTATAAACCAGCAAAGTTAGAAAGTTTTAAATGAAGATTCTGTATTTACAAATGAGCATCAAAGCGTTAATTTGAAAGTGATTTTATCCGAGAGGACTAGTACAGTAGAGTATTGGCATAATGTAATCAAAGCAATGAGGAAACGGAGAGGTCACAGGTCTACAAGAATTATTATAAATAAAAGTGACAAAATTGAATAAAATCGCATCGAATGCAAAGCGAGAAGGTATTGGTTTTACTCTGATGTGTGTTTTTTTTTTTATCTGTATACACTGTAACTTCTTTAATACTGGACCAATTCGTTCGAATAGCAACTCTATAGATCGCAATTTTCATCTAGTTGGTACTTTGGGGGGGTAAAAGTTAAAAAAGTTTAATTCTTCACAGACGAAAGTTGAAAAAACAAAAAAAAAACCGTACGAGTTTTTAAGTTAGAACTTTTACTGGCTATAATTTCGAGAAAAAGAGTCGGATCGAGTTGAAATGTATAGGAAATAATTATTTGGTATGCCCGCACACGTCAGTTGTGTCAAACTTAAACTATACCCATTTCCCACCCCCCTAGGGGTGGTACAATTTTTTTTGTTTTTCGGGGTTTTTAGCGGTAATTTTAAAACTTTTGTGTTGAAAATTTGCCAGTAGTTGGAACTCATATGTACCCATAACATATTAAACGGGAAAAAAATTCGGCACTACAGTTTTTTTTTAATTGCCGGGGAACTGTGTTTTCGCAGATTTCGTATATTTTAACAAAAACACCTAAAATCTTTAAAAAAAATTGATCAAATCATTAAAACAATTTTATTTATATTTATGCAGAATGATACTATTAGGTTTTGTGCTGAAGTACCACTTTTGACTTAATGTTTACACAAAGTTCATTTTTTTTTTTTTTTTACTTAAGTTCTTTCTGGCTGATTAAAATTGAGAACTGATAATAAATTCGTAATCACCGACCCCAAAAACATATAATTTGACCACTTTTGATGTCTTTTACACAAAAATCCAGAAAAATGATTTAGCTTCGATGCAAAGCGAGAAGGTATTGGTTTTACTCTGATGTGTGTTGGCATAATGTAATCAAAGCAATGAGGAAACGGAGAGGTCACAGGTCTACAAGAATTATTATAAATAAAAGTGATAAAATTGAATAAAATCGCTTTCAAATAAACGCTTTGATGCTCATTTGTAAATACAGAATCTTCATTTAAAACTTTCTAACTTTGCTGGTTTATACTGTGCTTGGTTTGGACTGTACTGGCTTGAAAATACTAACTACCGATTTGCATCGAAGCGTTTTTTCGAAAGTGATTTTATCATTTTCAGATTTAAAAATTCCTGTTAACCTGTGACCTCCCCGTCACCACTATGCCCCGACCCAACTATGCTCCGTCCCCACTATGCACCGACCCCACTGTACTGGTTTTTTTTTTTTTTGCAAAAACTTAGTGGACCAAATAACACATACACAATGTCTTGTTATATTTTGTTGGAATGGTCGACGATTCATGTTTCAATCGTTTGTACTCCATAGTTTAAATTATAATCGCTTATTCTCAATAAAATTAATATTTATGTATTATATACTTCCATTAAAGCAATCTCACACAAACTATTTTTACTTCACAGATTATATTATTTCAAAGCTATATTATACTTCTATTTTACTAGATTGATAATGTACAAAATAAAATGCAACTAAAAAAACCTTTTCATAGATCCTTAAAATGTAAAGGGTGGGATAGTGAAACGGGTTTTACCATTTAAATACATTAGAAAATCGCCGTTTTACTGCCTCATCCTGTATATTAATTTCTTGATATTTTCTAAAGAAAAATCGATTTTCTTACATTTAAATTAAAATAAATCGTATACTGGTACTGTGATGGAGAAAACAACAAAATTTACCTACATATATTACTTATTAGTTAAATATTACTAACGTGTATAACCACTAGCAATCGGCTGTTGCCTGTTATTTAACAATAACCTTTTATGGAGATTTTAAAAATTGTGTTTTTTTAATAATAGCATAGGAGCAGAATCATGATGTTAAATGTTCACGAGATTTGATCTAGTCATAAAATAAAGTATTATCATTTATGACTTAATTATTATTAAAATTTATCTTAATAGTAATAGTACATAGTATTAAAATAATGAAATATTTTATACAAAATTAGAGCTACAAGTTGATAAACTAAAAAATTAAAATTAGCACGAAGCAGATTATCTAATATTAGACAATTTAAACAATGAAGCGTGAATCTCTTTAAATGAATAACAGTATAACAATGTACAAAACATTAGTTTTCCTTTAAAAAAATTGTATAATAAAAAAAACATTTTGAGGCGGTATACTGCATAAAAAACAACACTTAATCTGAATCCAAAAAACAACAGTCCTCTTCATTATTGGCAGGTAGTTGGACATAATATACTCATAGTTACACTTCGGTAAGGTTATATAACGCAGGTTATAAAATAACGAGATAACGACAGTGGTTTTGTCGTATCAGAATCATTAAGTGTCTTAATAAGTACACGGATAGGTTTTTTTCCCAATAAATCGAGTTTCTACTATAGTCAGTTACACGATTTAGTCGCCTGTGATATCATGTAATAAACACAATATTATGATACCGATCATTGGGCCCTAAACTAATCTAACACGGATATACGTTTTTATACATTTCAACTCGATCCGACTCTTTTTCTCGAAATTATAGCCAGTAAAAGTTCTAACTTAAAAACTCGTACGGTTTTTTTTTTGTTTTTTCAACTTTCGTCTGTGAAGAATTAAACTTTTTCAACTTTTACCCCCCCAAAGTACCAACTAGATGAAATTTGCGATTTATAGAGTTGCTACTCGAAGGAATTGGTCCAGTATTAAAAAAGTTACAATGTATACTTATAAAAAAAAACACACATCAGAGTAAAACCAATACCTTCTCGCTTTGCATCGAAGCTAAATCATTTTTATGGATTTTTGTGTAAAAGACATCAAAAGTGGTCAAATTATATGTTTTTGGGGTCGGTGATTACGAATATGTTATCAGTTCTCAATTTTAATCATCCGGAAAGAACTTAAGTAAAAAAAAAAAAAAAATTGAATTTGTGTAAACTTTAAGTCAAAAGTGGTATTTTGAGCACAAAACCTAATAGTATCATTCTGCATAAATATAAATAAAATTGTTTTAA